GCCATCATTGTTGTTTGGCAGGCCCGGGCTGGGGATTCGAACTCACCACCTTAGGTGTATGTGGCTGGCGCCTTAGCTGCTTGAGCCACAGGCACCGAGCCATAACTAGATTCTTAAATTATTTTTTATTGCAGTATAATTTTAATGAGTTTTGTCCCATTCAATAAGTAGTATTTCCATTACCACAGAGAGTTCTTTCACATCCTCTTCTTTCTTTTCTCCTTCCCCCATCTGCCACACACAGAAAAAAAAATTTTTTTATCTTTTTATTGTAGAGATTTTTGTGGGTTGTTCTTTAAAAAAAACTTTTTTTTAGAAAAAAAATTTCCTTTCTTAAATTTTCTTTTTTGAAACAGAGTCCCATTTTGTCACCCTCAGTAGAGTGCTGTGGCATCATAGCTCACAGCAACCTCAAACTCTTGGGCTCAAGCCATTCTCTTGCCTCAGCCTCCCAAGTGGCTGGAACTACAGGCGCCCACCACAACACCCAGCTATTTTTAGAGATGAGGTCTCGCTCTAGCTCAGGCTGGTCTCAAGCCCATGAGCTTAGGCAATCCACCAGCCTCAGCCTCCGAGGTGCTAGAATTACAGGCATGCACCATCACACCCAGCCTTTTCAAATTTATTTTATAGCTAGTCAAGTGAAGCAGTGGGAGTAGGGAGAAAACAAGTACATAGGGTTGTTCTTACTCTGCATTCTGTGCTATTATTTATATGGTTCACCTTCTGTGATGGTTATACTTGACTTCCCATAGTAATTCTAGGGCATTCTTAAATGGACTCTTTATCCTTTGGTGAACAGAAGCTTCTTAACCTGGTGTAAAATGTCAAAATCTTTGCACTGAGTGTTTGCCTAAACCCAGAATGTTAGCGTTTGACTTTGTGCTCCAGTTTCATCCTGTTTATCAGAGGTTCCCTGTTCTTAGCCTGACTGCTAGCTCCTGCGCTTTGATGCAAAATGACCATTGTTCCTTGCAGGTTGCGGGCCCCTCACTGATTACTGCAACCACCACTGCAGTGTCTTCAGTCCTGCTGGCTCCAAGTGTTTTCCAGCAGACATTTACAAGGTCCACAGACCTTGAGAGGAAAGCCAACTCCCCTTCTCCTCTAACTATTGGAACACCAGAAAATCAAAGAAAGCCTTCCATTATTCTCAGCAAGTCTCAGCTCCAGGATACATTAATACATCTAATAAAGGTATGTAGGATATCAGTTTACTCTTTGGTTTTTTTAGTCTTTGATATAAGAAAATACACTGTATACGTTCTTCCTACTAAATCATCAGATAAATTCAAAAGATTAGCTGGGAGTAATGTTTCTCTCTTTTGAGCATATACTCCTGGTGGAGAAGGGGAAAGTATCTGAGAGAACTCTGAAATATTATCTCTAGGTGGTGGAATTATTTGGGTAATTGTTCATTAGTTATACAAATTACTAATGCAGTGGTTTTTTTTCCTAAGCTATTAGCAAGAAAGTAAGTTCTGATGAGGTGAATCTAACATTTCGTGCTCTTGACCTTTATCATCTCTTCTAGAATGATTCCAGCTTTCTGAGTACCCTTCATGAAGTCTACTTACAGGTTCTAACAAAGAACAAAGACAACCACAACCTATGACTGGAGCAGAATAAATCTGAAGGCAGAATGTCAACCTCAGACATAAATAGGCTTCATCATGGAAACTTCTAAACAGAACATTGAGTTTTCAGAATCCTGAAATTGAGCCTATGAGAAAGAGACTCATTCCATAAGAATGTTTTCCAAGTAACATTCTCAGTGATAATGGAGGTTTCACTGTGAAGCATCACCAGCAGACCTTTGTTTTGACAAAAAGAAAAAAAAAAATCATTGTGTTGAATTATGTGGGTGTTTTCATCAGCTATAAGCAAGTATGTGAAATAAGGAGTCTTTCAGCTTGTTTTCACTTGCAAGGTGGAGTAGTCACCAGCTTTTCTCCAGCCAGAGTTCAGCCTAGCCCACACCTCTACTCCTAACCCTGCACCCTAGAAATGTGGGCATTAGGCTGAGAGTTACGTTCTGAACAGAGTAGAAGTCAACTCTGCAAAGTAGCTTTGAGTTTTAAGGATCAGAGTTTAAGTTGGCAAATTAGGAATTATTTGTTCAAGGGCAGTATGTTTCTTATGAATGCCCCATTTGGGCCTTTAAAGTTCTGAAATTTCTTAATAGCATTTTATTTTTTAAGTGTCTCCAGTCCTGCCTTGTAGCATTAACTTTTGAATAGGGTGCTGTCAGGCGCCAGTGGTGTGGGAGTAGGCATGGCACACCTTTGAAGCAAAGGCTGGGGCTGGCAGGCCCAAATCCTTTCATGTCTTCTACTCTCCTGTGGTTTTGAAAATGTTCCTATGTGAAGCACAGCTTTATTTTTCTTTTCTGTCTAAACACGGTTAGAAGTCATTGTTGATTGTTTTCCTTAACACTTAGATGAAAGGACCAGTGGACCAATCTGACAAAGCCATCCTGGTTCCATTTCTTGAGTGTACTGAGAATAGTTTTAAAACTATGCAGAAAAGGGAGCTGTTATACACACTGCCCTTACTTTGTTGTAGAATATGGAGTTGAAAAGAAAGTATGAGATTCAGAACTTTACCAATATATTCCTAGGCTGTGAGTATTTTTCCAGCCCAAAGTGTGAAAATATGTAAAGATGCTTTGTTATGCTGCTATTGATCTGCCATGATTTATATTTATTCTTTTATGGCATGTAATAGTGTTTAGTAATATTTTAATGTAGATTTTGATTTATTTCAGCAATAGTAATTTTAAGATATTCTTTGAATGAAAAGTGTCTTTGTTTCTGTAATACAGGTCATTTTGTAGTATTTAACCAATTAAGATGCACTGCTTACTTTTCTGAGCACTATTTAATGATGGGGTAAAAACCCAATTGGCTGAACCAGCTAGCATAAGGATTAGCTGTGAATAATGCTGGCAGATGTGATGGTTCCTTGGGAACAATCATTTAAGCTTTAATGGTAATTCAATCATAGATTTTTTTTCCTAGCTGAAATTTTAGAAAATTACTTGTGAATTATATACTTGTTTTAGTTGGTCTTAGTTTTTTAGTATAAAGAATACTTTGATTGGCTTTTTTATCAAAACATGCTTCCTGGATAATATTTCTGCTTCTCCGTTTAGTATCTTCTATTGCTGTCTACCTAGTTACATGTGAATTGTGCAGAATTCAGGGAAGCTTAGGACTTGTCATGCTCAATTAGAAATTCTTTGTTTTCAAAGATAAGGTGTAAATTCAGCAACCAAAAATGAATTGCTTGTGCATCATATGAGAAATAGAAAGTTATAGTAAGAAACAGTGTCACTGACACCAGGTGTCCAAGGAGCCATGTGACTGTTCTCATAAAATGGATGCGCCAGTAGATTTGATCCCCCACACACACCAAGTGTAGTCTCAGTGGGCTTTGGTAAATGGACGAATCAAGGGATTTCTGTTGTAATAGAAATTTGAATATAAATGATGCTTTTGAGTAAGTGTAATATTATGAGAGGTTTAAAGAGAAAATATCCTAAAGAGGATCTGTAATCAAATGTATTAATTTTTACCCTTTAATGCTAGGAATGAATATGATAGTAGAGAAAATCTATGGTAAGGCTTCTTTAGTGTAAAAGTAAACTTTTTTAAGTGCCCAAGTCATGGAGACTTGAAAAGAATAAACCTGTTTCAGCTCCCAAATTTATATATTCAAAGGATTTACTTAAAATTCAGAAGCCAGAAGTTCACAGTCATGATTGCCAGGAAGTTCAGGCTAAAATAAGTCTCTAGAGAAGCCAAGCCATGCCTGGACAGTTGCAGTTGGATGACCCTGGCCAGAAAGTCGCAGTTCAGTTGCCTTACTCCTCGTCAGGCTTACTCTCCAGAACCTCGTGCTGGCTTAGGTTGCATGTTTACATTGCTGCAGTGTCTTTACTGGAATCTTTGTTGAATCAAAACAGACACCAAGATGGAGATTCTTCTTGTTAGATTTGGCAGAACCCCAGGAGACCTGCATTTCCACCACTCTGTCCATCCTAGTGCCTACCCCTAACCCCAGGGTCCAAGTGTAGGCTCAATGGAGCAGCATAGAGCTTGGGAGAGAGGTGTTTCTAGGGTGTCACTAGTGGGTGGTGCTGCTCTTGTAGCTAATGTGCTGACTTTGAATGGACTCTCACACTCCCCAGACAGCCTTGTTCCTTTAAGGCAAAAGCTCCTCTTCCTTGCTTATCTCTCCTGGGACTTATGAGGTATGAAGAGTTGGCCTACTTCACTCTGACTGCTAAGTTTTCAAGTGACTGTCAGTGTCAGGAGAAGCATTTCATGCCTCTGCGTGTGGAATATCCATAGCTTACCTTTGAAGGCTTAGATGTAGCCATCAAGAGACTGGCATTTTATGAAGAACCCAACTAAACCTGGGCCCTTCTCTACAGAGGGATGTATAGGCTTAGTTTAGAATATGTCTGACCCAATTTTACATGTCAAGCATTTGTTCTTTTTCTGACCTACTTTGTCTTGTAGAAATTAGATACCCCATCAAATCCACTACTAGGTAAATATTTTTAAACCATGCAGCTTTATTACTCTCCTCCCCCAAAGAATGTAGTTTGAAACTTTCTCATTTTGGTAGTAGAGGCCCTAACTGCCATTGTATTACTAATAATGCAACATGAAATTGAAGGTGCCTAACTGCTTAAAAAACAAAATTAGCCATCATACTATAGCTGAGAGGAATGAGAGGTGGCACAGGCACGAGCGGGCTCAGCCATGTGAGCAAGAACTGAGGACTCCCAGGGGTGCGTGTCCTGCATCCTTGCTGCATGTATGCTGCAGAGCGCGAGTTTGTTTCTTTGTTGCCTACCTTTGGTTTTCTTCAGTTGTGTTCAGTGTACCTTCTGGAACCAGTAGTGCCCTGAGTTTTCAAGTGTCTATAATGTTAAGATCTGAGCAAAGTTAAGCAACTTATACTAGCCTTTTTAATGCTATGCTTGAGAACATTTCCCTGAGTGGGCCGGGGCCTCAAAGAGCCTGTTTTTTAGCAAATTCAGCAGAAGAGATGTGTGCAATGTTTCACTCAGTTTTGTATTTGACATCTTCATTTAAAATGCTAAGATGCAATATCATTCACTTTGAAGTAGGGAAAATGCAAAATTGTGTTTCCCTTTTATCTGTGTGATTCCTTAAGAAACGTGTTTTTAAAGTGTGTTCTAAATGGGTTTTTATCTGTATTACTGCTTTGGCCATGTGGCTCTCATGACTTTCATTGTATCAGATTCTCAGCTCCCTGAAATGTGGGAATGAGAAACTCTGGAATTACAGCAAGGTTTTTGTTCCATAAGCGCAATACTGCATCATTAACATTTTTAATGGTATGGATTTTATACCATCTGTGTATGTTTGCAAATATTAAGTTATTACATGTTTTAAAATGAGCGTTTTCATCCTAAATTTTATATGTTTGCAAATATATTTTTTTAATAAAATTTCAAAACCAAGTTTTAGCACCTACTAAATTTAAATTGTGTTTTTATTTAATTTGTATAAATAGGAACTTGTAAATGAAATGCTGTACTTTGCCAGGCTGCAAAGTGCAGCAGTCCCCCATCTCATACTGGTGACATGGGGCAGGGTAAGATAACAAAACTGACAAAAAACCCTCATCTACCTCTTGCCAGCCTGTATAGTCAGAGTTCTCCAGAAAAACAGAACCAGTAGAAGATATAGATACATCATTACATCCATATGATGATGTTTCGGTCAACAATAGACCACATAGATGACAGTGGGCCCATAAGATTATGACACTGTGTTTTCACTGTAACTTTTCTACGTTGAAGTACACAAATACTTTGACCAATGTGTTATTGCCTATAGTAGTTAGTCCAATAACATGCTGTGAAGCTTTGTAGCCTGGGAGCCAGAGGCCGTACCTTATAGCCTCAGTGTACAGTAAGTAGTCTGTGCCATCTAGGTCTGTGTGAGCATACTCTAGGATATTCACACAGTGAAACTGCCTAAGGGTGTATTTCTCTGATCCCCACTGATAAGCAATGCAGGACTATGTAGCTACAGCAGCCCCTCCCCCACTTTATCCACAGTTTCACTTTCCATGGTTTCAGTTACCTACACTCAACCAAGCTCCAAGAGCATTAGAGGAAAATTCCAGAAATAAACAATTCATAAGTTTTAGGTTGTATCCTGTTCTGAGTAGCATGATGTAACCTCTTACCATTCTGCCCCAGCCATGAATCATCCCTTTGTCCAGGATATTCATGCTACCTGCCCTTCAATCACTTAGTAGCCATCTCTTATCAGATCAACTGTCAAGGTATCCTAGTACTTGTATTCAAGTAACAGTTATTTAATAGTGGCCCCAAAGTGCAAGAGTAGTGATGTTGGCAAGTCAGATATGCCACAGAGGCTGTCGAGTGCTTCCTTTAAGTGAAAAGGTGAAGGTTCTCCACCTAATAAGGAACGGGAAAAAACTGCTGGAGTAGCTAAGATATACAGGAAAAACAAATCTGTCCATGAAATTGTGAAGAATGAAAAAGAAATATGTGCTAGTTTTGCTATTGCATCTTAAACTGGGAAAATTATGGCCACAGTTTACAATAATTGCTTTGGGAGCGGCGCCTGTCGGTCAAAGGAGTAGGGTGCTGGCCCTATATACCGGAGGTGGTAGGTTCAAACCCGGCCCCAGCCAAAAACTGCAAAAAGTAATAGTAATAATAACTGCTTTGGAAAAGGCATTAAATGTGTGGGTAGAAGACAGGAATAGAAAACATGCTCTGATTTAAGCCAGTGTTGCACAAGAACGTGTTGAGTATGAAGACTTCAGCAAAGGACCCCTGAAGCCAGTGACACCAAGCCGTTTACTGCAGGTAAGAGATGGTTACAGAGGCTTGGCAACTGTGGCTCAGGTGGCTAAGGC